AACCTAAATGTAATTGGTGTCCAAAGGTTACCCTATCTGGTCAAGCCATACAAAGGACCGTTTGATGTCACATCCTGTCATATGCTATGAGGTTGTCATACCAACATAATATAGCCTAGACTGGCTACAGGTGAATTTTATGATATGTGATGAGTATCAGTACTCATGTTTCATTTCAATGGCTGTTGTAGCTAGTCATCTCCAATTCAAACCCACACATTGAGTCGCAGGTTGTGCAATGCAGAATTACCCAACTGAAACCCCAACATTACACTACTAAATCCACTGACTGGTACCGCCAGTCTCAGGTTAATACAGAAAAATACTGGTTAATGACGCCAACCCTGAATTGATGGTCAAGAAGATCCATGATTGCTAAAGACAAAGGCTTTGGCTAAAACCAAGCTGTCATAGTCAGATGATTCTGACAAGTTTGGCTTTGACATTTAATCACAGACCAAATTGTGTATTAGTATTTTCTACATGGTTATTTACAGATTAATCAATGGCTTTACATATAAAACAGCTATGAAATGATTGATTTGAATGATTGAACCTAGATTGAACGTAGACGAGTACGAGACAGTCACAGACTAGAGAACCCATCCATGGCCACAGGGGTTGATCCATTCTCTTTCTGCTGTCTGTCAATGCAATGTTAGCGGAAAAGGGGTTACTAGCTGGCTAGCCAGACACATTGGCTGAATACGATTGTGTATTTTTTATTTATTTTTTATTTAACCTTTATTTAACTAGGCAAGTCAGTTAAGAACAAATTCTTATTTACAATGACGGCCTACACCGGCCAAACCCGGACGACGCTGGGCCAATTGTATGTCTACATTACATTCAAATGTTGCTATTTGCCTTGTATACTCCAAGAGATACATAATACATAGAGCTAATTTGATAGACACCGGTGGCTAGCTAGCTAACTTAACTACATGGGGTGAATTTGAATTCACTCCTCTAGCTTGCTAGCCTCATCCCCTCGTCACCCTCCTTACCTTCTGATAGCTCCAATTCCAACTCCGCCAAATGGTCTCGAAGCTCTTTCGGTATACCGGAGAAATCCACGCCACGGTCTGCCATGACTTAAAACGAAGTGTGGTTCAAGTAAAACGAAATTTATTCTGGGTTAAAATACCAGCTTCAAGACACAAAACATGCATTTGAACAGATGAGACGATCCATTCTCCGCCATAATGGGTAGAGCTCACCAATGGCAATGAGCAGTCACGTGATCTCTCACATACTAGCGGCCAGGCTGCACCCAAAACAGGGTATATAGATAATATGCCATTTAGCAGATCGAGTCATACAGCTTGTGCTCCCTCTTGTGGTGCTCTAGAGATAGTACAACTGTGTACAATGGATTACTGTATATCATACAGTAGCTAGTGAGTCCTAAATTAGCATTAAAGTAGAATGTAAATGTACAGTTCAACTTATAACTGCATTTGTATGACACCAGATAACCTGACATGTGGCCTACCATCTCATATGATTATCAGCATGCAACATAGACTGTATAAGATTTGCATACTTCCAATATCAGGGATTTTCCTCCATTGAACATTTTAAGGTGGCCACCTTGTTGATTTCCCAGGCCACCAAAAATTGGGCAAAAAAGTACTCCCTTGGTCAATGAAGTGACCATGTAACACAGACAGAAAGTGAGATCTATTGTGTGAAATTGTCTGAATCAAATGATTCAGAAACGGTTGATATCCATTAAGTTCTTTTGTTTAATTAAATCTGCAGCACGGTAAAAGTGTTCATAGTAGCTCCACTTGGACATGCATGGAAAAGTAAATATATTCATATAGTACAGATAAGGACAATTTCTGAAATGATCAGTTCAACAATTCTTTCATGGGAGTGTGAATGAACAATTCAAATAACTAATATGTAACTTTCACAATGTTGTCATCTCCACCTAAAATTCTTTTTCTTATACAATTATGTTACTTGTTCACAACAACAGTTAATATTTTGAGAGGTTTAAAAATATGTATATATTTCCATGAAACCAATGCAACAATAACTTAGTTGGTTTGTGAGTGATGGGCAGTCCAGAAAGAGCAGTGTTCCAGCCATAGAATTAGAATCATGATTCTAACTCTATGGTTCCGGCATAGTCCGGCTGATACAAACAGTTGGGTTACATTAACAGTCTTTTAGATCAGAAAAATAAAGAAATCGATGTTCTAAAACAAATTAATTTCTATATCTCATCATTACAACACAAAAATACATACTAGAAGTGTTTATTATGCCAGAGTATTTGTATATAGTCCTCATGACAATAGCACGCAATAAAGAAAATACCAAAAATGAAAATGAAAAGAAACAAAGTGCCAATGACAATAACTAAAATGAAAGCTAAATAAAGTTGCTTTTTTACCATTTCATATGAACAATCGTCTATTAATAAGGGACAGCTAGCCTACTATAGCGCCAGCTCAGAGTACTACACAATGCCAGACAGGGTCACCATTGGGATTGTCATTGTTGGGTAGAATCCCAAATGGCACCCTATTCCCTATATAGTGCACTACTTTTGACCAGAGCCCTGGTTACTATTGGGACTGTAGGAGTAGGACAAAGAAGTTCAGTCATTTGTGAGATGTGTCAAGTAGTTACTGAGTAGCAATCCTTATTGGGCCGGTTTCATGAACACAGATTAAGTCTAGTCCTGGACTAAGTATTTTCAATTGCGAATGTCCACTGAACATGCTTTTAAGTCTAGAAATAGGCTAAATCTGGATCCGAGAAACAAGCCCATTATGTATAATATACATGATCAAGACAAGAAATAGCCAACTTTTGATGTCACTGAAAGTATTCAAGTTAAACCAAAGTTTATACAAACACAAACAAAAGAAAACACAAATCATTAACGATAAACCTGCATATTTAAGTGCCTTTAGACATGTCCTTATGTTTTTTGACTGATACTCTAGTTACTTCTGCAGTAATATATACTGCAAATTGTTACACACATATTAAAATGGATTTTGGGGGAAGTTACATACAAATGCAAAACAAGATTATCCCTTGTTTAGGAGTTGTTTTTCTAAAACAAAATGTCTAAAACTTTGTTAATAAAAGGGGGATCCCTGAAGAATTGAAACTGTTCCCAGACTGCCACAGGAGTTCTGAAAGAATTTCCCTCAAGGTCCATGTCCAATCCCCATCCTTGTGAGAGAAGGTAAAGTTCCTATTACTCCACTAGATGGCGACATAAATATCACACAACAGTGACGTGTGGTAACTGCAGTGGTGAAGTGTGGTGACATTTACTCCTGATTTTTGAAGGCATCTACTATACAATAAATTCTCAGCATAAAAAATAAATTAATCTATTGTTACTCCTTGTGAATGGCTTTTAACTTCTGAGTCAATTATAATCTTTGAGGGGGATGTCGGAGGCACGAAAGTGATTCTTTAAGGCAAAATCGTTTTTGAACACAGAGTGTGTGTGTGTCGTGTGTGTTGTGCAGAGAAGGAGCTTTGTCACTGAGTGAATGCTGATCCATAGTATAACAGTTCGGTTATGTGTTTGTTCACATGTCAGTGCCGTTTGTAGACACACATAAACGTTACAGGGGAACATGGATAGTCATTCATAAGAGCAGCAATGGTCCTGTTCATTAGGGCATCCAACAGAAAACATTCCATAAAGTTTTGTAACAGCAAACGAAAATAAGCATTTCTTATTGGACCAGGTAGTTCCTCATTGTTTCAGTCCATTTTGTTCCGTTTGGTGCCTAATGAACACGACCTAGAGAGACTAAAGCGCAGCACATTCCACTCCAGAAAGCAGCAAGGATGAACTACTACAGGACCACGCAGACAAGAGAAAGGCCAGTTAGAAACCACTTAGACAGCCACACAACCATTAGAAGAAAAGCTTTCTGCCAGCTAAGATTTCATAAAAGATGGTAATGGCATATATTTAGAAACGAATAAATACAAAAATTGCATGGGAAAGAGGAAATGGTTACTGAGGAGAGGGGATGCAGTTGCATTTGTTTAGATTCAGATGTAGTCCGGAAAAAAAGTCTGAGGGTGAAAAGCAATGGAAAAGCCATTCTCTGAAAAACACTTCTAAGTGTTTAATCATTTATAAATGACGGTGTACAGTAAATCTATTACTTCTAGCTTTCTGCTTCTGTCGCACAGCTTCAGTGACAACCAGAGACAATTTGGTTCTCTATAGCCCAAGCGGCAAATAATAATGTGCCGTTAAACTTATTAAAGAAAGCTGCACAGGAACACAACAAAAATGCTAATAAAAAAATAAGTCACATGCTACCAAACCGGATCTTAGTGTATCAGATATTGAATCAACAAATTGCTATGTTCTGCTGTACATAAAAACACACCCTACACACACACACAGTTTATAAAACGTATCATAAAGGGCTATAAATGAGGTCCACTTTTTGTGAACGACTGACACAGAACCTCGAAATGAAACCACTTCCAAAACTATTAGGGATTCAGGAAAACAGACCAAATTGAAAATATTGGACCCGACCATCTTGACAATTAAAGTATAAAAAAAACTATTGCATCTTTGGATTTGGAGCGTCAATCATCTTTGTGTGTGAATAAAACATGTCAACATGTGCAGGAGAGCAAGGCCACAATCCCCTGTTACAATAGTATGGACCCCTGCAGTGCTCAGTGTTTTGGTATTTCACTTGATCAACAACAAATGTGAATCAATGCAATGCTTACATTGAGTCTATATGTATGTATATTATGTGCGCTTGCATTGTGTAACTGTGTGTTACCGGAATTTGTTAGAGTCTGAGTGTCCGAGTGCAGAGTTTATCACAATGACCTTTACCACACTTGGGAAGATGCTATACAGTCCTACAGTTCAGTGAAGTTTACAAGTGCTTGAGGGCGGCTTGAGGGTGAGGCAAGGCGAGAGGGTTGAAGGGTTATTGGGGGGGAAGACGAGGGGAAGTACGGAGGAAGACGAGGGGGATATGGAGGGGTGTGGAGTCCAGCCCCTGTATATAGTCTATGGCATAGTGAACAGAACAGGAAGCTCTTTCTCTCTTATTGTCCCAGTCCATTCCCAGAAGGCTGTTGTTGCTGAGCTCCAGCAAGGCTCCAGGCCTGAGACAAAATGGCTGACACAAAATGGCCACCACAGCAGGTGGAAAGAGGAGGTTGTTTCAATTTAGTAGGAAGAGGTTATTTCTTCGGGTGTCCCTCCTCCTCCCATTGTCTTACGTCAGGTCGCGTCACTCCTACACAATGCTCGGAGGCGGAATTGTCACGCTATCTGACTTAAGACAATGTTTTCCTCCTACTCCTCCTCTGCTCACCTGAGAAAACAAAACCAAAAAATATCTCCTCCACTCTTCTCCTACCCATGTGGGGTGGTGTCTGGTGGTGTGTGCCGTAGTGTCCCGGGCCGTGGTGTGTGATACGCACATCGCTCATCATCTGGAAGAGTGGTGTGACTGCGTGGCCATGATGACGTGGGAGGAGGGATCATCCCTCCCGTCTCGCCCTCCATCCCTTTCACCTCTCCTCTGCTGGTGTTGACCCATCCCAGCCAGCACGGACATGGCCACGGCCTCGGCGGCCGCCCGGGCACCCATGCCGTTGGGGCCCAAGGAAGGAGAGGGGCTGGGCAGGGAGCTGTGTTGGATGACAGGGGCTGGGGAGCCGGTGGGCTCCGACATGTCTCTCATAGGACTGTCCTCTCCTGTAGGACGAAGACAAGAACAAAGTGTTACAGGGACGGGCTTACCAGAGTGGCTCTACCTCAGGGATGGGCAACTTTGGTGGGGGCCACAAAAAATCGGAACTCATCTGCGTACCCACATCCATACCCACCACACATTCAGATAGAGCCGGCCCTAGCCTTTTGTGGGCCCTAAGCTAATCATATTTTTGTTTTTTGTTTTCTGCAATTCTACACATTTTGCCATGCGGCAGAGAGAAAATCTAGCAATTTCATAAAAAATACTATGCAATTGTACTCATTTTGCCATGTGGCGGAGAGAAAAATGTGCAGTTTTACAGCTAATTTCTTAAATTTGACACATTTTGCCAAGGGTGGATTGAAATGTTTGCAGTGAGTGAGTGATTAACAAAATCAATGGGGGCCCCACGGTTAGTAAATCGACCATGATTACTAAAAGTTTAGATAGCTGGCCACTAGCCTGACTTACCAATCTAACACATTTGAGCTGATATGGGCTAATTGAGTGACTGACAAAACAAGAGAAAACCTGCTGATGCACAACCAAATTTCGAAACTGCACCTTGTGTATTCTACTATTCTAGAGTAAGTTGAGACCTCAACTGAGTTCCCCCCAAAAATGAGAGAATTGATCCGTGGGCCCCCAGTTGCCCATCCCTGCTCTACAGGGTAGAAGGAACCAGAAACCACAATCAGCTATTTCAACCACTATCCCCCATTAATTAAGAGATTTAGTATACAGTGCATTCGGAGCAAGTATTCAGACCCCTTCCCTTCCACATTTTGTTATGTTACAGCCTTATTCTAAAATTGATGAAATTATTTATTTTCCTCATCAATCTACAAACCATACCCCATAATGACAAAGCGAAAACAGGTTTTTAGATTTTTTTTATTCAGACCCTTTGCTATGAGACTCGAAATTGAGCTCAGGTGCATCCTGTTTCCATCGATCATCCTTCAGATGTTTCTACAACTTGATTGGAGTCCACCTGTGGTAAATTACATTGATTGGACATGATTTGGAAAGGCACACACCTGTCTATATAAGATCCCACAGTTGACAGTGCATGTCAGAGCAAAAACCAAGCCATGAGGTCGAAGGAATTGTCTGTAGAGCTCCGAGACAGGATTGTGTCGAGGCACAGATCTGGGGAAGGGTACCAAAAAATGTCTGCAGCATTGAAGGTCCCCAAGAACACAGTGGCCTTCCAAGACTCTTCCTAGAGCTGGCCGCCCGGCCAAACTGAGCAATCGGGCGAGAAGGGCCTTGGTCAGGGAGGTGACCAAGAACCCGATGGTCACTCTGACAGAGCTCCAGAGTTCCTCTGTGGAGATGGAGACAACCATCTTTTCAGCACTCCACCAAATCAGGCCTTTATGGTAGAGTGGCCAGACGGAAGCCACTACTCAGTAAAAGGCACATGACAGCCCGCTTGGAGTTTGCCAAAAGGCACCTAAAGGACCCTCAGACCATGAGAAACAAGATTCTCTGGTCTGATGAAACCAAGATTGAACTCTTTGGCCTGAATGCCAAGCGTCACGTCTGGAAGAAACCTGGCACCATCCCTATGGTAAAGCATGGTGGTGGCAGCATCATGCTGTGGGGATGTTCTTCAGCGGCAGGGACTGGGAGACTAGTCAGGATCGAGGGAAAGATGAACAGAGCAAAGTACAGAGAGATCCTTGATGAAAACCTGTTCCAGAGCGCTCAGGACCTCAGACTGGGGCGAAGGTTCACCTTCCAACAGGACAACGACCCTAAGAATGGGAGAAACTCCCCAAATACAAGTGTGCCAAGCTTGTAGCGTCATACCCAAGAAGACTCGAGGCTGTAATCGCTGCCAAAGGTGCTTTAACAAAGTACTGGGTCTGAATACTTATGTAAATGTGATATTTCCGGGGGTTTTTTTTTTGTTATACATTTGCTTTGTATTTGTCATTATGGGGTATTGTGTGTAGACCGATAAAACATAAAATGCATGACAGAATACAGAAGTTATAGACAAAAACAGCATAAGATAATATTACAAAAGCACATATGAGAGTTTATGTGTTTTCTAGATGCTGCAAGCTAACAGGCTCACCAATGTAGGCAATCTTCTTCTGTAGAGTGGTGACAGGGCAGTCCTTGTGAGCCAGCAGCAGCTGTTTGAGATGAGCCACCTCGTTCCTCAGGAGAGACACTTCATTCTGAAGCGACACAGTAACACAATGAGTCAATGCTGTTGTGTAACACAATGAGTCAATACTCTGTCTCTACCCGGTACAGTCAGAAGAGGAAAGAATATCTTCTATTTTCAAACTGCTTGAAATATTTCAATGAGTAGGTGGTTTGGAGAAAAGGAGAGATGAGATCGAAGTACAGTGCGGCTTTGAAAAAAAACACACACACACACACACACACACACACACACCGCATACTCACCGCCAGCGAGACGTTCATGGAGACAAGCTCCTCGGCCTTCTTCTCCAGGGAGTTGACCCAGACTTTGCGTTTCTGTCGGCAGCGCGAAGCAGCCGCCCGGTTCCTCTCTAGGAAACGCTGTCGTCTGTCGTCCGGGTCGTCCTCCGCCGCACGCCGCCGCCGACCACCAGTAGGCTGGGCCGGAGACACCTGGAGGGGAAGGGGGAGGGCGTGGGGGAGATGGAGAGAGAGGGAGGTGGGATAGAGAGAGGGTTTGAGTCATCGCAGCAAGCTGACGGGTATAAACTGAGGGGGAGTGGGCTTGTCAGGTTGTCAACACTTAAAACAAGACCGATACAAAATTGTCTTTCAGTGCCTAAATTATAATGCCCCTGCCCCTCCACTGATGTCAACGAACGACGAGTCACGAAGATCCAAGTCAAGAGGATTTGGATAATATACTATTGCCACCAGGGTTGAGGTCAATTCCATTTCAATTCCTGTCAACTCAGGAAGTACACTGAAATTCCAATTCCAATTTACTTTCTGAATTGACTGGAAATGAAATGGAATTGACCCCAACCGTGATTGCCACAGAGTAAAGCCTCCATGTATATTCTTTACAATTAACATGCATGTGAGTGAGTGCTTGAGGGAGTGAGTGAGAGTGTGTCAATGTCTCCACGTCATCCTACCTGTGGCTGTGCTGGGGAGGGTGCATCGGGGTGCTGCACCAATAACTGGCTCTGTTCCATCCTCTGGGGGTGCATGGGGCTGCCGGCCATACCTCCCATACCATGACCTCCTGAACTCTGCTGGGCCAGTGCTGCCTTCAACCTCTACAGAAGACAGGACAACCAGGACCATTTTAACATTAAAACACACATGGACAAAAACACACACAAAAAAAACACAAGTGTTATCACAATTGCTTCTGGACTATGCAATCTCAGTCACGTGATGAACAAACAGAGATAGGAGGGAACGAAGGTTACAGGGCAACGAAGGGAGATGGGGGGGAAAAATAAAGAAAGCGAGAGCGAAGGGGGGAAGGGGGAGAGAGAGAACCAGAGAGATGGTGTGTGAGAAAGAACAAGAGAGCGCCATAAATAGATCTCACCATTTTGGTTTCAGAGTGTGTGGTGGACCCGAAGGGGGAAACCAATGGACACAGAGAGCCGCCGAAAATACATTTGACCGGTCGAGCTCATCGGTCTAAAGGTTCATTTGCATAACTGAGTGGAATTAAATTGGCACGTGTGTATTTTCATTAGTTTGTCATGTACCTTAATTATCACATGGAATATCACCTGTCGGACACCGAGAGCTGCAGGGCCCGGTTGCATAAAACATCTTAAGTAAATATTCCCCTTATCGTTTCACTTAAAGTTTCCTTAACTTTAGGCGAATTAACGCCTTAAATTAAGTGAAAAAGTTCAAAGTTGAGGGCCCGGTTTCATAAAACATCTTAAGTGTTTCCCTTAAGGGTTTACCTTAAGGAATAATTTTCCCTTACCTAAGGGAATTGTTTGAATATTTCCTTAGGTAAGGGCATACTTAAGGAGTTTTATGGTAGTTTGAAGGTATGTATGGCAGAAAGCAGTGGAGGCTGCTGAGGGGAGAACAGCTCATAATAATGTCTGGAACGGAGCAAATGGAATGGCATAAAACACCTGGAAACCATGTGTTTGACGTATTTGCTAGGTTTGTTTTTACAGGTTTCCGTTTCTCCCAGTTTTTTCAGGTTTTCGCTCTCAAAATCATACTTTTTTAAAATAGAAAAACAACAAAATTGGATGTTCTAAGTCCACAACAATGCTTAAACCAAATCAGGAGAAATGTTTATTTTTGGGTGTAGTTACCCCTTTATTCAAGTTTCACCTAGCAAGAGGATGTTGTTTAGCAGTGTATTTGTAGGGTACATGTGATGGTAGAGTTTGCAAAACAAATACCCACTGGATTGATGAAAATAATCATGACATAATTCTGCCAGATAAGCATAGGCTACTTTTCAGTTAACATTTAATTGAGAAGGCTTTTTGAGAAAGCATTTCCATCTACACACAGACATTCCCATTGCCTCTTCAGAAAGTTGCAGCTAATACGAATCACTGATGCATTCTGTTCATGTCTTATGTTAAACTTGGGCAAATTAATAATTGTTCAATACATTTAGTTGATTCCCTACTAAGGTAAATACATTTTAGAATATTGTTGAATTCTGTTTTAATGCCTGGATTCTGTGAGGGCCCTAATGATCATATTTTGGACCAGAATGAGGCTCTCCACTACGTATTGTTCCTGTAGTGATGATTCACCATCTTCATCGACTCTTTTCATAATTTATCTGCAGGTAATTGCCTAAAAGTAGCCTATGCAAATTAGGGAGCCAAATGAACGGCTCTGTCATCGATGCGATTCGGTAGGCTGACGAGACGAGTCACTCACTTTACCGTCACTGTCTGGCAAGCCCCAAAATCCTAGGAAAGGAAGCCTAGGAAATATGAAAGCACTAGAAATCAATAATTAGGCTAAGTCGTGGATTTCAACTTATCTTTACCACTTACATTACATGGGACTTGCAAATTCACGAGCATCATGATCTCTCCCTCCTCCATGTAAAGAAATTGACTGCAACCACAGACAAATTGTACCGGGAGGCGGGACAGACAGCAGACTGTGTTTCCCTGTCATCGCTCGCTTTGTGACTGACAGGTCCCTATCCTATCAATAGATCGCTAGAAGATGCATATCATTCATTCTAGCGGGAGAGGGCTCGACGCACTAGCAAAGTAACTAATGGAAAACACTGCTTGCTATTGTTGCACGTTTCAATAGTTTCAAAAATGTCTGTTGCTTGTATTCATGCATAGTAATTTATGTTGGTCATGTCATTTTACTGTTTGGAACAAATGTAAGAGTTTGTTAAGCGGTTAATGAGGGTCGGTTAGTCGGCAGCAAAATTGACAGAAATGTGCATCCCTAATAGAGACAGAGAGAAAGAGACACACAGATAGAGAGAGACAGAGAGAGAGACACACACAGATAGAGAGAGACAGAGAGAGAGAGAGAGAGACACACAGAGACATCTGTTCCTAACCATCTTGGCCTCAGAGTGTGTGGTGTACCCGGAGGGGGAGTTGGAGCCGCTGCTGCCACCTCCCAGAGGAGGACCAGGGATGCCGGGAATGTTGGGCACCATGTGCATGGGCCGGGCCAGCTAGAGACAGGAGGCGCACACACACACACACACACACACACACACACACACACACACACACACACATTAACAACCTAGGTTGGGGCTCATGCTGGCAAAGTGAGACACTACTCAATGGCAGTGTTTCAAGGTGCTTCATATGTTCTTCCATGTGAATTAATACTCATTATAGACAACTAGTGCAAGCATACAATTGAATTATTTATGATCAAACTAGGCTCCCTGACTGATATGTAATAATAATAATAATAATAATAATAATAATAATAATAATAATAATAGGGGCGGTTCCGAGAATCTAACCCACTATCTTGACGTTGCGAGCACCATGCTCTACCAACTGAGCTACGGAGGACCAGCTTCCAGGTAATGGTCAGCTTCCACTTGAATCAGAATTGGCAACAACCGCCGGTCCCAAACCAGAGGACGACAGACCGGTGAAGGCAGGTTACTTACAGATATGACAGAGGGTATCTGCATGGGTCCAGGGAGGAGGCCGTTGGGAAGGTGCATCATCATGGGGTAGTGGCCTGTGGGAGAGCTAGAAGAGAGAGGTAGAGGGTTACTGGTGGGGAAAAAAATCGATTTGGAAATCTCCATCTTGCCCTCTGATAGGCTAGGTGGAATTTACATCATATAGGATACACTTATCCAGTCCTTTCAGTTCTACAGTAGTGGCCTAGAGGGTAGGGATTGTAAAAAGGGTTGATGTGGGATTCGGCATAAAACAGCCATCTTTAACTGGATCTCCAGGCCCCACGGAGGACTAGCCTGGTTCCAGATCTGCTTATGCCATCTTCAGACCTGGAACCAGGCTTGTGGCGGGAGGACCAGTCACTCACCCCAATAGGGTGCGGTTGGAGGGTGGGGTGGGTGTGATGACGGAGGTGGGTGAAGGCATGGTGGGGTGCAGAGCGTCGAAACCCAGGTGGAGGGGCAGAGAGCCTGGTCTGGGCCGCACAGGGAGGGCGCCTGGCCTCACGATCGTGGGGGTGGGGGCCGAACTCAGCGCTGGCCTCGGGGGAGTGTCCTGAGAGAAGACAGGAGAGATGCTTAGTTGAACACCAGGTGATGAGTATAAGGTCAGCATTAGGTCAATAACGACTCTTGTAGGTTTAATAAAGCCTATTTTCCAATGCATGTGCTTGATAGCACATAGACTTAGTAAAGGTGGAGTACAGCAGGCATGTTGTTCCCCTATCCTGTCAGCCGTCCGTTCCCCATTAACAAACCACAGCGCCCATCCTAGTCTCTCATCCCTACTAACTACCTGTTCCTCTGGCCCTCCCGTCTCCTACCTTTGGGTGTGACTGAAGGGACGTGACTGGCATGCCAACCCAGAAATCTAATCCTAACCTAACCATAACCAATTAGGTCATTCAACATGGGTTTGCTGGTCAGTCATGTCCCCTTAGTTTTGACCCCTACCTTTCCTCTTCTCACCATGGCGTCCCTGCTACTGTCTGACATGCTGGAAAAGGAATCTGGACTTCCTGGTGGGGAGGAGTCAACCTCAACAGGCTTCTCCTCCTTCACCCTCACGGCATCTGCTGACGGCGTCTGCAGGCTCATGTCCAGGGCCACCTCCCTGTTCGGGGCAGGGAGCTGGAGGAGAGGGGGGGAGAGAAGGAGGGAGAGGGAGACTGTGAGACACTACAAAGCACAGGAGAGATAGCCCTTCAGAAGATCCAGGTCTCCAATCCCATTCCACCCCATTGCCCATGTGACTGACTGGGTTCCGATCTTGGTCTTCTGCGCACAACAAGACATTTTATTTTTATTTTTTATTTTTCTTTGGGGGTAGATCAGCTTAATATTGCAGATCGATTGTAACTTCCATCAATGTAATTGTCTGCATCACTTCCAATCCCCCATGTTTTTATATATATATACTCCCCTTTAACAACAAGACTGTTAGTCTGCTGACCTAAAGCCTAGAGCTTACGCAAGTCTTCAGGTCTCAAATACAGTAACTCATCAGGCAAATGTGGTCCATGGAACCACCTGGGTTCTACTCACAGGGTTCTTGGCCCGCTTGTCGTCATCCTCCTGGGCCTTCCTGAACTCTTCAGCGAAGGAGCTAGCCAGCTCGTTGAACAGCCCCACCTCCTCGCAGTTCTTCAGGAAGCGAGTGGGAGTAGGGGTCTGGTCTGGAACAGGAGGAAGAGAAACACAGAGAAATGTCCAATTTTAGAAAATCTCTCATCTTTTTTTCCACACTTCCCGTACAGAAAAGAGCCAATGGATGGATGTTTTATTCTGAAACACTTTGGTGTGGAGATTTAAAGCTAGAATCCTTAGTTGCTACATACATTTTTGGACATACAGTGGGGGAAAAAAGTATTTAGTCAGCCACCAATTGTGCAAGTTCTCCCACTTAAAAATATAAGAGAGGCCTGTAATTTTCATCATAGGTACACGTCAACTATGACAGACAAAATTAGAATTTTTTTCCCAGAAAATCACATTGTAGGATTTTTTATGAATTTATTTGCAAATTATGGTGGAAAATAAGTATTTGGTCAATAACAAAAGTTTCTCAATACTTTGTTATATACCCTTTGTTGGCAATGACACAGGTCAAAACGTTTTCTGTAAGTCTTCACAAGGTTTTCACACACTGTTGCTGGTATTTTGGCCCATTCCTCCATGCAGCTATCCTCTAGAGCAGTGATGTTTTGGGGCTGTCACTGGGCAACACAGACTTTCAACTCCCTCCAAAGATTTTCTATGGGGTTGAGATCTGGAGACTGGCTAGGCCACTCCAGGACCTTGAAATGCTTCTTAAGAAGCCACTCCTTCGTTGCCCGGGCAGTGTGTTTGGGATCATTGTCATGCTGAAAGACCCAGCCACGTTTCATCTTCAATGCCCTTGCTGATGGAAGGAGGTTTTCACTCAAAATCTCACGATACATGGCCCCATTCATTCTTTCCTTTACACGGCTCAGTCGTCCTGGTCCCTTTGCAGAAAAACAGCCCCAAAGCATGATGTTTCCACCCCCATGCTTCACAGTAGGTATGGTGTTCTTTGGATGCAACTCAGCATTCTTTGTCCTCCAAACACGACGAGTTGAGTTTTTACCAAAAAGTTATATTTTGGTTTCATCTGACCATATGACATTCTCCCAATCCTCTTCTGGATCATCCAAATGCACTCTAGCAAACTTCAGACGGGCCTGGACATGTACTGGCTTAAGCAGGGGGACACGTCTGGCACTGCAGGATTTGAGTCCCTGGCGGTGTAGTGTGTTACTGATGGTAGGCTTTGTTACTCTGGTCCCAGCTCTCTGCAGGGTCATTCACTAGGTCCCCCCGTGTGGTTCAAGGGATTTTTGCTCACCGTTCTTGTGATCATTTTGACCCCACAGTGGTGAGATCTTGCGTGGAGCCCCAGATCGAGGGAGATTATCAGTGGTCTTGTATGTCTTCCATTTCCTAATAATTGCTCCCACAGTTGATTTCTTCAAACCAAGCTGCTTACCTATTGCAGATTCAGTCTTCCCAGCCTGGTGCAGGTCTACAATTTTGTTTCTGGTGTCCTTTGACAGCTCTTTGGTCTTGGCCATAGTGGAGTTTGGAGTGTGACTGTTTGAGGTTGTGGACAGGTGTCTTTTATACTGATAACAAGTTCAAACAGGTGCCATTAATACAGGTAACGAGTGGAGGACAGAGGAGCCTCTTAAAGAAGAAGTTACAGGTCTGTGAGAGCCAGAAATCTTGCTTGTTTGTAGGTGACCAAATACTTATTTTCCACCATAATTTGCTAATAAATTCATTAAAAATCCTACAATGTGATTTTCTGGATTTCTTTCTTCTCAATTTGTCTGTCATAGTTGACGTGTACCTATGATGAAAATTACAGGCCTCTCTCATCTTTTTAAGTGGGAGAACTTGCACAATTGGTGGCTGACTAAATACTTTTTTCCCCCACTGTAAATCAATGATATATACCCATTGATTATTGAAGAATATAACTTAGAAATGGCTCATGAACTAATATCAACTATCATACCCCCATCAGAATCCAAAATATAAACTTGAGGGGATTCGATTATCTGGCCCGGGTTACCCAGTTGGAAGGAGTTTGCACCGGGAGAAAAGTGATTGCAATCGTTTTCAAAGAAAAAGTGATTGCCCCTTTCAAAGCCCACGGGTGAAGTCGACTCAAAACAAAAGTGACGTAGCCTAGGCTTGATTAAGCACATGGGGTAATGAGTAGGATTCGGTGTTTTCACATGCAAAAGTGATTGCTTTTGATAAAAACGCTTTATCTGCCTTCCCAATGAAAATTTGAACATACATTTTATAGTCTCGAAAACCTGACCCTAGGCAACAGTGTCTAGGGTCTGGTTTCAATTATGGACTATTTTGGCATAGAGGAACAACGTCTACGTCTCTACTTCATCCGCTTGAATAAAATATCCGCTTGAATAAAATAGTAGCTAGCAAGATGGAGATCACAGAGGTTATTTTTAATGAGTGCATTTCACAAGTGCCTAGTTTGCATCAACTACCACTACAAAAGGTGTTGCCTGCAAACTTTGGTTTCGAATTGTGATGTTCTGGCATGTCTGCCTCGTGATTTGTTGGGAGAGCCCCCAGAATGTGTTTTTTTCCCTTTATCGATGTAGGCAGTGACGTAGTTCCTCTATGCCAAAAGAGTCCATCAGTGTTGCCTAGGGTCGGGAATTTGAGACTATATGTTTCTGGACAATGCACTCTGCTGCCTTGTTGACAGCCTGACAGTGCGGCGCAGATTACTGCTCAATTTAAGAAGGGCGCTCCTCCCTCACCACTTTTGACCGTTCGTGTCACAGGCCATACACCAGTGCACCACGCCTCCTTGTTTTACTCCAATGTTTGTAAACAATGGTTCAAACGATCATTTTGATATCATGGATGGTCATTTCTTGCATCCCTAGCTCTATGAATTTGAGAATGGCTACATTTCTCCAGGCCCTTCCCTCAGCTTTTTTTCAAAACAAAAGGCAGGGTGACAGTTTGTTATTCTTTCAACTAAGGATTCTAGCTTTAAAGATAATCTAATTAATCCGATATTCAACTAAAGGTCTTCAGGGAAGTCAAACTTGACAGGCGATGACAGAGATGCTATTTCTGACAAAATTGTTTCATTTTGGGTACTCAACAACTGACAAGAGTACCAAAGTAAAGAGGTGACAGTACAAACAGTAGAGTAATGAAGTTGAATAATCCAGACTCACTAGGAGAACCAGTACCTTGGATAATGACAGAGTCAGTCCTGGCAGGGGCAAACTTCAGAGTCATCTCATGCTTGTGTTTGTGTACAGCCAGGTGGTCCTCGTTGGTAAACCTCTGAAGAGAGGGAGGGAGAGAGATATAGTTTATGAAGCTGATCACGTGCAGTGCGCACTGGCTCGTTTTCATAAAATGAATATGCCGTTTTGTCACACAGATCCAAGGCCCGTAGCCACCCATCGGGATCCGACCCGGGATCTGAGGGTTAACTGCAAAATGTTGCATCTGACCTGGTCGGATCCCGGGTAATCGGGTTGGGGTAGATCGGTGAACACAAACACACACACACACACACACACACACACACACACACAGAGAGAGAGGTGATAATCTACTAGGCCTGATGCTCAGTCAGTTAGGTGCCAGAAAGCACCTTAACCTCAATATCAGATGTCAAGTCGCAGAATCATATACATTTGACTGGCTATCTTTTGGAACATATTCATACGGTATCACTTTGGGTTGCACAACAAATAATTTATGTGATGTACAATACACTCTGGTTTTTGTACCGCAGACCTTTCAAACCCTTTTAGCCGTAAGCGACTTATGTCTTTCACAGGTAACTACACATGTCTAGATATATCCACAAAGTGGCACAAAATGCTGCTGACACTGAAAACACGTTGACCCGACAGCTTGCTCAGCAGGGAAGTGGAATGCTAGGCCTACTTGTTGGCTTACTGTACATCATAGATCTAGCATCTGCTGTGCACTTGTTCTACTACTGCATTTGTAAGACTTATGGTCCACTAAACAAGTAGCCTAGTACACAAGTATGTGTTTATTCAAGGTATTTGTGCTTCTCTAGTTCCAGCCCATCTGCAAAAGACAGGACACGCATGTGCCAGTCAGGCAGGCACACAAAGGTGCTACAATAGTCTTCCTCGGTCAGTCTTTCTGTATTTGTTATCTTCCCTTTTGGAGTTGCTTTAGTTTCGTTTTAGTTTACAGAACTAGATTGTGTTCATTAGGCACCAAAAAGAAGAAAACGCACTGAAACCGGGATGGACTACGTGTCACTTGTCCAATAAGAAAAACTATTTAGTTTGCTGTTGCAAAACCTTTGGATACATTTTACCCTGATGAATGCCACCCTGGAGGTGAATCAGGAGGGGATGCAGTAGGTGGAATATTAATCATCATGGCTTTAGCATTTAGGCTGAGTCCCATATTTTACCCTATTTCCTATTTAATGCACAGCTTTGACCAGGGCCCAAAGGCTCTGGTCGAAAGTGGTGCACTACATAGGAAATAGGGTGCTATTTGTGACGCAGACTTTAGTTTCTCCTCCGTCTTCTTCTGCATTAAGACTATTTCTGGCTGCGTGAGTGTCACAGTAACAAGTTCAGTTGTGAGAGAGGGGGGGAGAGAGAGAGAGAGAGAGAGAGAGCGGCAAGTGGAAACACTGAAGTGTCAGAAGCATATTTTTAGCCAGTACCAGTTTGCGGCAGAGACACCAATACACTCATACGTCTCACAGACTGACAGTATCTTTCCTATGACCAAGACAACTGGGTCGAGCTGGGGGGAAACCATCTCAAATTAATTTATCTGACCTGTACGTACGTAGGAGATACTGGAAGCAAGGATTATCATATCTAACAATAAATAGCAAACAGGTCAAAATGGAGACCCTGTCGCTATAAACTGAAATTGTACAGAAGGATTCTTGGAAAGGCCAGACTCACACCAGGACAAGGTTTCCCCGTATGCATATCCTATGTGCCATAGCATGATAGACAGCCAAGACAAGGTCTGGACATTAATAAAATCATACTTCTGTTCTGTTCGGACTGACTAACACACCACACCCACACAAAAGGGCAACTGAGCCAGCCAAGTGTTTGTGTGTGAGGATATCAAAAAGCACCAACACACTATGCTATGATGATTCACAACATGTTGACCCACCCACACACACACACACACACACACACACACACACACACACACACAGAGAGAGAGAGAGAGACACAGACAGACATTAGGGTTGGGCGATGTCAATCTTCGTCCTATCGTGATTATGTATCCATAAAAACCCACATTGTGATATACGAGGGTATTGCCCCTCTATTGACCAACCCCCATATTATTTTTACTCAGCTAAAATGACAGTTAGGCTATAGCGTGAAATCGAATGCTTCAACAGGACAAATCATGACGAAAGATAATGTTGAAAGCCTGGGCAGAAGCTAAGTGCAGGGAAATGTTTTCTAATATTTATTTCTGGTGGAGGAGCTTCAGCATGGAGTGTGTGTGTGTGTGTGTGTGTGTGTGTGTGTGTGTGTGTGTGTGTGTGTGTGTGTGTGTGTGTGTGTGTGTGTGTGTGTGTGTGTGTGTGTGTGTGTGTGTGTGTGTGTGTGTGTGATGGAGCAGTGACAGTCTGATGAGGAACGGTCTTACCGTAGTGAGTAAGGTTATACATCATGGGCTGGATAGAAGCAGATTCTTCAGAACTGGAAAATAATTGCTTAATTTGCCCCATAACATAATAATAAATACATAATATTGTTTGTTCTATCGCTCATAAAGCTGTGATTGAGAATAGCCTATGCTTAGGCTATAGACTTTCATTCTTGTGATTTTTGAAAGCAGCAACTTTAGGACAACACCAGGCTACAATATTTGGAAAATAAGTGACTGTTCATAACTAACTTGTCTTACAATTTTTAAAAGACAGGTTATTGGCCATTTGGTTTTTAATCTCACATGGAGGGATTTTCCTGTCCCGCATGGATCATTTCTTTCTCAATAAGCTTAAACTTGATTACATTTTTCTATTGATATTGTTTGTTCTCACTCGCTCTCATTATTAGTCATTTTTACATTTGAGTCATTTAGCAGACGCTCTTATCCAGAGCGACTTACAGTAGTGAGTGCATACATTTTCATACTTTTTTCGTGCTGTCCATTTACTGTTTGATTGGGAGAAAGCCATGCATAAACAATGAAAGTGTAGTCTATAGCACAAAGTCATATTCATAGCCTAGAGAGAAGGCTATCCTGTATATAGGCTACGTTCTTTAAAAACAGCTAGACAACATTTACATTTACATTTTAGTCATTTAGCAGACGCTCTTATCCAGAGCGACTTACAGTTAGCGCATACATTATTTTATCGAACCCACAACCCTGGCGTTGCAAACGCCATGCTCTACCAACTGAGCTACAGTTGGTATCCCCTGCCGGCCATTCCCTCCCCTACCCTGGACGACGCTGGGCCAATTGTGCGCCGCCCCATGGGTCTCCCGGTCGCGGCCGACTACAACAGAGCCTGGATTCGAACCAGGATCTCTAGTGGCACAGCTAGCACTGCGATGCAGTGCCTTAGACCACTGCGCCACTCGGGAGTTAAGTGGTGTCATTTTGCGCTGCTTTGGTGGAATTCTCTGCTCTGTCTGGCCAACATTATTCTCTTGCGTTGTGTATACAACATATTTATTGAAATAGGCTTTAGCAAATAGGAATTACCCAGAATGTCACTTGTGTGCTGCCATGCTGTGCGCTTCGAGACTCCGTTCTTTACTGCGCGGCGCCAGTCAAGTACAAATAGGCTAAACCATCGTCTGTCACATCACGATGTCGTCACCATCGATGATGGCTGTCAATCATCGTCGATAGACGATACTATCATATCACCCAACCCTAACACACACACACACACACACACACACACACACACACACACACACACTTTAACACTGGCAAGTCAGCAACAGACAGACATCAGTGTTGATTCAACCAAATCTCAAAGCACATCCTGTACCTTTTATTTTAGCATCCATTTTAGCCTTTTTTGTAACTGATTAATAAATGTATCATGTTGTCAATAAATTAAATATGTTACATCAATGTTGTCCTTACAGAAGCAAGTCAAGTGGAAGCTAAAGTGTTTGTTGGGGTAGCTTGAATTTCCTAACAGATGCAAGTCAAGAGGAAGCTAAACTCTGTGTTGTGGTAACTTCAATTGAGTCCCTTGGTGTCCTGAAGGTTCCGAGAGGGAAAATGAGCCAACAAGAAATAAATTATTCATTCCAGAAGCATGTTCCTGTGTGTGTGTGTGTGTGTGTGTGTGTGTGTGTGCGGTACATGCTCGAGTTGTCTAAACACTAAATGCCAGAGGACAACACAGAGTACAACATTAATGATTTCTAATATAATAAAAAGAGACAAAGTAATAACATCAATAGTTTCCAATAAAATTCCATCTCCGCTCTCTTAACACTACATTGATATGTTGTCTTCAAGCTGTCTGCAGTAAAATATGTGGTAACACTTTACTTAAAGCCTGCAGGTACAATGCATTATGATGCTTTTTATAATAATGTGGGAGCCTTTATAATGTTTCCTAATAACAAGGCTTATAAGTCTTAAGTCATGGCATCACCAGCCAAGAGGGAAGAACCAGAGAGCACAAGACGTTGAAAAGACATTGAAAATACATATTGTTGGTTGAAAAGACGTTGAAAATAAGTATTTTTTAACATCTTCACTGGGATTGTATTGTAATGTTGTACTAGGCTTTAAAACAACTAGCCTATAGGTGAAATCTATCACCTTTGGACAGAGTACAACAATTCCCGTCTTGTTATGACTGTTATTCTTCATGTTCTGCTGGCCAAAACCCATATTATTACATTTGAAGTCAGAAGTTTACATACACTTAGGTTGGAGTTATTAAAAATCGTTTTTCAACCACTCCACAAATTTCTTGTTAACAAACTATAGTTTTGGCAAGTCGGTTAGGACATCTACTTTGTGCATGACACAAGTAATTTTTCCAACAATTGTTTACAGACAGATTATTTCACTTATAATTCACTGTATCACAATTCCAGTGGGTCAGAAGTTTACATACACTAAGTTGACTGTGCCTTTAAACAGCTTGGAAAATTCCAGAAAAATGATGTCATGGCTTTAGAAGCTTCTGACAGGCTAATTGACATCATTTGAGTCAATTGGAGGTGTACCTGTGGATGTATTTCAAGGCCTACCTTCAAACTCAGTGCCTCTTTGCTTGACATCATAGGAAAATCAAAAGAAAATCAGCCAAGACCTCAGAATTTTTTTTTTTAGACCTCCACAAGTCTGGTTCATCCTTGGGAGCAATTTCCAAACGACTGAAGGTACCACATTCATCTGTACAAACTATAGTACGCAAGTATAAACACCATGGGACCACGCAGCCGTCATATCGTTCAGGAAGGAGACGCGTTCTGTCTCCTAGAGATGAACGTACTTTGGTGCGAAAAGTGCAAATCAATCCCAGAACAACAGTAAAGGACCTTGTGAAGATGCTGGAGGAAACAGGTACAAAAGTATCTATAACCACAGTAAAACGAGTCCTATCTCGACATAACCTGAAAGGCCGCTCAGCAAGGAAGAAGCCACTGCTCCAAAACCGCCATAAAAAAGCCAGACTACGGTTTGCAACTGCACATGGAGACAAAGATCGTACTTTTTGGAGAAATGTCCTCTGGCCTGATGAAACAAAAATAGAACTGTTTGGCCATAATGACCATCGTTATGTTTGGAGGAAAAAGGTGAGGCTTGCAAGCCGAAGAACACCATCCCAACCGTGAAGCACGGGGGTGTCACACCCTGGCCTTGAGAGGCCGGTCGTCTTTAGTTGGTTTGGTCAGGGCGTGAGAATCTATGCTAGAAATTCTGTGTTTATGTTCTAGGTATTGTATTTCTATGTTTGGCCGGGTGTGATTCCCAATCAGAGACAGCTGTCGCTTGTTGTCTCTGATTGGGGATCATACTTAAGTAGCCTGTTTGCCGACCTTAGTTGTGGGATCTTGTTCCGTGTTGGCTTGTATGTGTATAGCCGGAGGACTTCACGTTACGTTGTTTATTGTTTTGTTGTATATTTATTAAGTAAATAAACATGTTCGCATACCATGCTGCACCTTGGTCTGACCCGTCTCTCAACGATCGTGACAGAAGATCCCACCAAACGAGGACCAAGCAGCGTGGCCAGGAGCAGACATCCTGGACATGGGAGGAGATCCTGGATGGTAAGGGATCTTGGACATGGGAGGAGATCCAGGCTGGGATGGATCGCAGTCCTTGGGAACAGACAGAGGAAGCCCGGGTTAGAGAGGAGCAACGGCAACACAGAAGGCGCCGGCCAAGGAGGAAGCCCGAGAGACAGCCCCAAGAAAAAAAACGTTGGGGGCTAAATGGGTGGTCGGGGATCGATATAGAAGAGCCCCGACCACTGCACTCGTGGGGGCTCAAGGATGAGTCCTCACTGGAGGAGGACTGGGCGCGGAGAGTAAAAGACTGGTACAGTCGAAGATCTCTAACGACAGTTCCCAGTCCAGTACACCTCGTGCCTGCGTCTCGCACCAAGATAGTGGTAAGTGTTCCCAGTCCAGTACGGCCCGTCCCTGCTCCTCGCACCAAACCAGTGGTGCGTGTCGCCAGCCCGGTACGCCCCGTACCTGCTCCCCGCGCAAAGCCAGTGGTTCGTGTTCCCAGTCCAGTACGGCCCGTCCCTGCTCCTCGCACCAAGCCAGTGGTGCGTGTCCCCAGTCCGCCTCCGAGGCTGAATGCCCACCCGGACCCTCCCCTAATGAGTCAGGTTGGTCCTGCCGGAGTACGCACCTTTGGGGGGGGGGGGGGGGGGATACTATCACGCCCTGGCCTTGAGAGGCCGGTCGTCTTTAGTTGGTTTGGTCATGGCGTGAGAATCTATGCTAGAAATTCTACGTTTATGTTCTAGGTATTGTATTTCTATGTTTGGCCGGGTGTGATTCCCAATCAGAGACAGCTGTCGCTCGTTGTCTCTGATTGGGGATCATACTTAAGTAGCCTGTTTGCCGACCTTAGTTGTGGGATCTTGTTCCGTGTTGGCTTGTATGTGTATAGCCGGAGGACTTCACGTTACGTTGTTTATTGTTTTGTTGTATGTTTATTGAGTAAATAAACATGTTCGCATACCACGCTGCACCTTGGTCTGACCCGTTTCTCAACGATCGTGACAGGGGGTGGCAGCATCATGCTGAGGGGGTGCTTTGCTGCAGGAGGGACTGGTGCACTTCACAAAATAGATGGCATCATGAGGAAGGAAAATGATGTGGATATATTGAAGCAACATCTCAAGACATCAGTCAGGAAGTTAAAGCTTGGTCACAAATCGGTCTTCCAAATGGACAACGACCCCAAGTATACTTCCAAAGTTGTGGCAAAAGTCAAGGTATTGGAGTGGCCATCACAAAGCCATGACCTCAATCCTATAGAAAATGTGTGGGCAGAACTGAAAAAGCGTGTGCGAGCAAGAAGGCCTACAAACCTGACTCAGTTACACCAGCTCTGTCAGGTGGAATGGCCAAAATTCACCCAACTTATTGTGGGAAGCTTGTGGAAGGCTACACGAAACGTTTGACCCAAGTTAAACAATTTAAAGGCAATGCTACCAAATACTAATTGAGTGTATGTAAACTTCTGACCCACTGGGAATGTGATGAAAGGAATAAAAGCTGAAATAAATAATTCTCTCTACTATTATTCTGACATTTCACATTCTTAAAATAAAGTGGTGATCCTAACTGACCTAAGAGGGAATTCTTACTAGGATTAAATGTCAGGAATTGTGAAAAACTGAGTTGAAATGTATTTGGCTAAGGTGTATGTAAACTTCCAACTTCAACTGTATATAGACAGGATTGTGGCATGTGTAGTCGTAGACATAATTTACTGCCAAGCAGTCACTAGCGTTGCGCGCCGCTAACCTCCAGTATGGCAGCGTCCCAAATGGCACCCTATTCCATATATAGTGCACTACTCTTGATCACAGCCCTATGGGACTAGGGTACCATTTGGGATGCTACCAGCCACAGACATTTAGTGCCAAGCCGAGTCACTATGTGTGTCTTTAACCTCTATGTCTGCAGGCAGTAGAAGTGAGACAGAGACAGGTTGAAACAATAACTGTGCTTAGATTACTCATCTGTACTGCCTACTGCCTGTGACTCACTGGCTGGCTGAGTGGAGGAGACGACGTCCTTGTTAGCATTGTATCACAACACCGCTAAGCTAGCTGTGTCTGTCAGTAATCAGTGTATTGTCCATGTGGGCTCTCATTGAGAAACAGAAGTAGCCGAGAGACCCATGTTCGACTAGCTAGCTATCACCAACAGTGAGATCAGAGTGTGTGTGTGTCCGCGTGTGTGTGTAACTGTGTGTCGCCTGGATGGCATTGTGTTGTCCATGTGGGCTCTTACAGAGAAACAGAATAAGCAGAGCTAATGCATTAAATAGCCTACATTAGAATTGTTTCAGTCAGAAACAGAAGCCGGTTGATGGCTAACTAAAACATGTCTATTCTCTACCCATGTTCTTCTCCACTGACAGCAACGGGAAATTCCATTAATTTCAGTACAGAACTAGGCTATGTACAGTATGAATGAATATCATCAGTTTCAACTTCCCAATACTCAATTAGAGTTATTTCAGAGTCAACTGCCACAGACAGCAAAACACACTAACACAAAGCCACACACACACACACAAATACCAAGTACAACCAAACAACCACAACTGTACAAACACACACACACACACAACTCAAACCCGAGACAAGGTAGAGGTAGTAGATGGCTTACCTGTCCACAGCCCGGAGCGTTGCACACAAAAGGTCTGTCGTCCCCCATCTTTGCAAAGAGTTTGCAATGTAACTGTGGGAGAGGAGAAGAGAACATTGTTGTCCTTTCTTTTCTTTTCTTGATTTCCTCAAATTGGTTCAGTTGGTCCTCCAGTAGGCTAGTCCAGAACAACAAAGCAGGAATACTGCTGTCCTGCTGGTAGGCTAGCTGTAGTCAGGGCAGCCAGGAAGCAGAATGGATTTAAAAATAACCTACCCAAGCAGGGAGGAAAACACACACACGCAGAACACACACAAAGCTAGGCAGCGAGATGAGATCTCCCTGGTGGTGTTTCCTTCACACAAGGGGCTTCCAGCTGGCAAATGAATGAGGAGAAGCTTACAGAGGAGAAGGAAGGGAAGCTAGCATTTGGTTAGTACATAGACCTCTCCCTCTCTTCCACTCTCTCCCTCTCTACCTCTCCATCACACCCACCACTAGTCCCCAAGCACCCATTCTTGACTCCATCTCTCGCTCTTCTTTTCTGTAGGCTCTCTCCTTCTTTTTGCCAGCTCCCTCTCTCCCTCTTTCAGATTCAACTACCACTCTATAGTCTAGTAGCCTACACATCAATACCCCACCCTCACCCCCCTCTTTGCCTACTTTTTGAAGGATGTCATCTGTAATTCCACATCTCAAATATCTGCTGCACCATACTACTCCCCTAGTGACCCTCAACAACCATCTTTCATCTCATCTCATCTCGTATACGTCCCAAACGGCACCCTATTTCACCACGTAGTGCACTACTTTTGACCTCAACCCCATTGGGCCCTGGTCAAAAGTAGTGCACTACATAGGGAATATGGTGCCATTTGGGTATGATCTCATAGGCCTGTTCTGGTGTGCTGCTGTCACCCCACTTTCTCAGTGACTTTACTGACCCAAGAAAAACTGAAACCAAGCACGTTCAGAATGCCATTCCAAGAACCCCTAGTCTAACCAGAAGAGACCTAGCTCATAGCTAAGAAGGGAAGGGCACTACAGTTGATGAATGGGAGACACACTACCCTCAGCTGGTGTTGGAAGGTGTGAATTGTCAAGAGTTTGAAACTTGCTCATCAAAAACTGTTGCAAATAAGTGACAACACTGTAAATTAGATTTAGGCCTATGCTGCTCTGGGTCGTATTCATTAGTGCACAACGTAGCAAAACATTTGGTAACGGATAAAGAAAACAAGCATTGGACAATTTCCCTCTTGAATATGACCCTGCTCTTAAGCCATTTAGGCCTACCCACCTTCTCTCTATCTAATCTGGAGTTTCAGTTGATTTCACCCACCTCTCTCAACTCCCATTTCTGAGCTTAGGCCTATAGTCTACTATTGACAAATGTGACAACACACATACAACACTGTTTAGTTTCTCCTCCCGACCGTGTGGGAGTACAGTTGAATTGACATAACCTAAAGATTGTTTGACTGTTACAGGCCTGGGTTCAACTTTGTCAACTGTTTCTGTGGTGTACTCCCCTCCTCCCTCTCTTCTCCCCCCACCCCCCTCCCTCTCTCTCTTCCCTCTTCTCTCCTCCCCCCTCTCCACTGTGAAGACAGGTTGGGAAGTTTAGTAAAGATAACTTGGTCATAAAATGTTTATCATGGGATGTAATGTTGGGTAGGACATTAACATTTAATGACCAAGTTATCTTTCTTAACTTCCCAACCTGACGTCACGTGGAGCATGGGAGAAGAGAGGGAGAAAGGAGAGAGAAGAGAGGGAGGGATGAGAAGAGATGATACTTGGGGGGGGGTTGGAGCGGTATGGTATTAATGTTTCAGCAGTCCTCTGTCCTAGCGTCCCAACACAAGCCTCTGGATGACGTCTGGCAACAACTATTACTCAACTCAAGTCCCACAACAAACGCACTACGGCACAACAGATTATACAACAGCATCACCTTCTCCTCCAATAACGTCAACTGAAGATGCCGTGTAGATCTGTAACCATGTAAATATCTGTAAGAAACCATGTAATTCCATCACCAGTGACAGTGTAACCGTAGTGTAGTTAGTCTCTAGACTGTAGTACCTTTTTACATGGTAATTACATTGCCAGGTAGGCCTACTGTGTAACTGCAGTGTAACTGTACATATTGTTACATAGCCTAGTAGTTGACTTACCTTTTATAGACCACTAGTTTTAGAAGCACTTATCATGTTCAAGTGGGACAGACTATAACCAACATTATGTGGGCCCAGCCTAGTGTAGTATTGTGTGGGCTAATTTCCACTGTTCAATCTCTCGCTCTCTCTCGAAAAAGACAAAGGCTGCATCTTATTTGCCTGTAAAAAGCAGGCTGGCCCATCCTTCCCCGCTGAGATCAAAGGAGGAAACAGAACACATACAAGGCAGAGGAGCGGAGGGATTGATTCCGAACAGACCTCACAGGCTGTGGCAGCATCCCAAATGGCACCCTATTCCATATCTAGTGCACTTCTTTTGACCAGGGCCCATAGGGCTCTGGTCAAAAGTAGTGCACTATATCGGGAATACGATGCCATTTGGGATGCAAGCTGTGTGTGGAGGGGAGAGCAGCAAGCCAATACATCAGGCTGGTGCTAGGCCTCTAAACTAAACACAATCCTCGGAGTCTATTTGGGCAGAGATGTGAGTGTGTGAGTTCAGTCTATCTCCACACGACATCCACCAGCAACTCGTTATACTCATGGTGTGGACTAACGGGCTGTGTGTGAGAGCAAATCATGGACAACATCTGGACGGAGCAGCAGGACGGGGGGGAACAGACTTTTACTTGTACACTTGCTTACATGGATATGCTTCTTCATAAAAACCTATTTGAAACAAGCCATTACACTTCGTTATTATAATGGCATTTCATTATTTGTATTATTATTATTCAGGTTATTACTTATAAATATTAAATCAACAAGTAAAAAAATGCCAAGTTGGAGAGGATCTGTCGCAGTTTCGTATTGACACAACATTAAAGGAGTTAAAATAAAGATATATGCCTACCTTGTCTGTTGGCTATTCAGCACAAAATTGTTTTTTTATACAGATTCTATTTCGACACACAAAACCATTCAAACAAAGTTTCTCCCACTTTTCCGAAAATATTCGCATTACGTCACAAACCTTGCTGCTGCGGTCATTCGATGGCAGTGGCATATGTTCTTTAAAGAGAGGACTCCGTATTTAGAGAAATAATGTAGCTTAAGCTACTGAAAATAGGCCTTTTACAAGATTAAATCATGAAAGGAGCGTTTGAGTCTAGGCTATTTTAGGAAACTTTCTGAATGGACATACAGTGCATTCGGAAAGTATTCAGACCCCTTCCACATTTTGTTACGTTACAGCTTTATTCTAAAATGGATTAAATAGTTTTTTCCCCCTCATCAATCTACACACAATACCCCATAATGACAAAGCAAAAACAGCTGTTTAGAAATGTTTGCAAATGTATAAAAAATTAAAAACTGAAATATCACATTTACATACAGTACCAGTCAAAAGGTTTGGACACACCTACTCATTCAAGGGTTTTTCTATATTTTTACTATTTTCTACATTGTAGAATAATAGTGAAGACAACAAACTTATTAAATAACACATATCGAATAATTTCTCTGATTTCGCCTAGGGTGGAATATCGGCCAGGACCGGGCCTGATCAGCGTTGATTAGTCTACACATTTAAAGTAAGACAATATTCTGTATCAAATTATACCATAACAGGTTGGAGAGGACTGGCCCATTGTCCATTTGACACAACATTAGTGCATTATAGGCCTCAGAGCCAAAACAACCTTGTCGACTGCTGTTGAATAATTCATGAATAGTCAGACATATCCAACCTTTTTAAAAGGAAGACAGATTTATTTATTTACTTGCAAGCAATGAAAATGTGCATTGCATGAAAGAAAGTTCACACATCCTATAGCGCTCTACACCCCCCCCCCCCCCCGTATCTAGCGGTTTAGCTACTCGAGCATCAAAGGACAGTTGGAAAGAGAAGGAGATGTAGAAAGTTTAATAAACAGATTAAGTTAGCAAAACAATCATTAGTAAGTACTCCCGCTATTAGGTAAAGTTTATCTACACAATTTTGGGCACAAATTTGTTAACATCCCTGTTAGTGAGCATTTCTCCTTTGCCAAGATAATCCATCCACATGACAGGTGTGGCCTATCAAGAAGCTGATTAAACAGCATGGTCATTACACAGGTGTACCTTGTTCTGGGGACAATAAAAGGCCACTCTAAAATGTGCAGTTTTGTCACACAACACAATGCCACAGATGTCTCAAGTTTTGAGGGAGTGTGCAATTGGCATGCTGACTGCAGAAATGTCCACCATAACTGTTTAATTTTCATTTCTCTACCATAAACCGCCTCCGTCGTTTTCGAGAATTTGGCAGTACATCCGACCGGCCTCACAACCGCAGACCACGTGTATGGCGTCGTGTGGGCGAGCCGTTTGCTGATGTCAACGTTGTGAACAGAGTGCCCCATGGTGGCGGTATGGTATGGGTAGGCATAAGCTACAGACAACGAACACAATTGCACTTTAAAATCGATGGCAATTTGAATGCACAGAGATACTGTGACGAGATCCTGAGGCCCATTGTCGTGCCATTCATCCGCCGCCATTACCTCATGTTTCAGCATGATAATGCACGGCCCCATGTCGCAAGGATCTGTACACAATTCCTGGAAGCTGAAAATGTCCCAGTTCTTCCATGGCCTGCATACTCACCAGATATGTCACCCATTGAGCATGTTTGGGATGCTCTGGATCAACGTGTACGACAGCGCGTTCCAGTTCCAGACAATATCCAGCAACTTCGCACAACCATTGAAGAAGAGTGGGACAACATTCCACAATCAACAGCCTGATCAACTCTATGCGAAGGAGCTGTGTCGCGCTGCATGAGGCAAATGGTGGTCACACCACCAGATACTGACTGGTTTTCTGATACATGCCCCCCCCCCCCCCTCGATGTTAAAGGGATAGTTCACAAAATTATATATTGGTTTCCTTACCCTCTAAGCAGTCTATGGACAAAATATGACAGCAACCCATGCTTTGGTTTTGTTTACCTGGCCACTGTTGTTTCAAATGCTAACTTTTAGCATTCGTGTGACAAATCCAATGTGTG